TAAGTGTACAGTATACTAACGTTACTAACATGCCTGGTAATGTTATTCAGATAACTCCAGCATAAAGAACATGCTAACAAGTTTACCAAACTATCAGTTTCACTCCAAATCACTAAATCCAATGAAATCTTCGTCCTCGGTGTCAATTTTAAACAACTCCCCCAACTCGGGAGGTCGACGATGCGCCAATTCCTCTTCTACGTCGCTTATGTCAGACTCATCGTCGATTTATCAACACAGGCCGAGAGCGCCCTCTTGTGGTTTAATGTGAAACACGTGAAATGACATAATCATGTGTTAATAATTTCACACATAAGTCGCTCCAGAGTATAAATCGCACCCCCGGCCAAACTATGAAAAAAACTGCGACTTATCGTCCGGAAAATACGATAACTTAACATTGTCATCTTGTAAATTGGGCCGAACTTTTACAACCTTGGTCCAGAAAGGAGCACTGTGACAAGTCATTCCTGCCCACAGCAATAAGACTGTTCAATTACAGAAAAATAACACACACGCACTTATGCACACACACTCACACACACACACACACACACACACACAGACACACAGACACACACACACTACTACTACTACTACTACTACTACTACTACTACTACTACTACTACTACTACTACTACTACTACTACTACTACTACTACTACTACTACTACTACTACTACTATTGACTATTTATTGTGATTGTTAGCCCCTCCGTGAGCCGTCACCTTACCGTGGTGGAGGGGTTTGTGTGTCCCAATGATCCTAGGAGCTAAGTTGTCCGGGGCTTTATGCCCCTGGCAGGGTCACCCATGGCAAACAGGTTCTAGGTGAGGGACCAGACAAAGCACGGCTCAAAGACCCCTTATGACGAGTACAATTAATGGATCGAAGTTTCCCTTGCCCGGACGCGGGTCACCGGGGCCCCCCTCTGGAGCCAGGCCTGGAGGCGGGGCTCGTTGGCGAGCGCCTGGTGGCCGGGCCTACACTCATGGGGCCCGGCCAGGCTCAGCCCGAAGAGGCAACGTCGGTCCCCCTTCTCACGGGCTCACCACCCATGGGAGGGGCCAAAGGGGTCGGGTGCAATGTGAGCTCGGCAGCAGC